GCGTGCTTAAAAATGCAATTTTCCATATACTAATTAATATATCCAAGGGGCATGTCTCTTTTAAAAATAATTGATCGGCACTGATTTTCAAACTTGTCAGCGAAAATGCTGATATAAACCTAATATACAAGTTTTATAAAAATCAGCATGAATTGTACACGTCAGAGAGCTAACAAGACCGGATACATATTTGTATGTCCACCACAACTTGTCGCGAGGGGGACAAAAATCTAACGAGATCTTAAAATCAATTTTATTTTAGATTCATATTAATTTGCACTTTGTCTTCGGGGGATGGATGTGTTTTTGGTGTTTTGAGTTGGACATAATGTACAGGTACAGCGGATAAAAAAACGTACCTTTTCACGTAGTGGGGAGACAAAACGACTCACAGACGATTAGCAAAGATGCCTTTTGGGGGATAGGCATATTGCTCACATAGTCGTCGGGAAAAGCCCGAGATATTTCGCAGTCTTAAAAGGAGTTTTTACAACAAGTATACAAGTGTTTTGTGCGTACTGTTGTGCGTTTGTTTTTTCTACATTGGCTAGAGGTACAGGGGGAGGTTTGAGATCTCAAAAAACATGTTTAACCCCGCCGCATTTTTGCGCCTGTCCCAAGTCAGGAGCCTCTGGCCTTTGTTAGTCTTGTATCATTTTTAATTTTAGTTTCCTGTTGTTTAGGGGCCAGCTGAAGGACGCCTCCGGGTGCGGGAGTTTCTCGCTGCATTGAAGACCCATTGGTGGCCTTCGGCTGTTGTCTGCTCTATGGTCGGGTTGTTGTCTCTTTGACACATTCCCCATTTCCATTCTCAATTTTATATATTAAACTAAAAAAAACTAAAACTAAAACTGAAGCTTTAACTTTTAAATTATGTACTTGGTACTGTAAATTCAGAAATTATTGCGATGTTTTTATTATTGCGAAAAATGCAACAGGGTTATAATCGCAATAATTTAAACTCGCATTTTGAAATTTTTAAAATGAATTTAACACGATTTTCTCAATATCGCAAAAAATTAAAATCGCATTTTAGTCTAAAATGACAAAATCGCAATAATAAATGCACGCAATAATTTCTGAATTTACAGTATACTATGTATATTTTTATTGTTGATATTCACCCCATATGTACCAAGTGTTAGATTAGTTTTATTGATATTAAAGAAATTTCTTGGTATTCCTAAACGGAAGATTTTATACACACAGAAGAAGAAGTATACTTAACAACAAAATTATTTTCATTTACCTGTGTATAATATGACGCAGGTTTCTTCAAAAGTGATGATTTTCTATAAATTGTTTGAATTTCACAGTGATATCATACTTAACTTTGTTTAAACCTGTTTATTTACTTTTGACTTTCATTATTTATCCCTTGTAATTTTTTATTAACTGTGTATTTGCATTCAGGTGTCACAGGTCAAATTTATTCGTTCATTGTGTGTTAATTTACGTTTTTTGATTGAGTTAAGCCTTCCAATTGATATTTTATAGTGTGTTTTTCTATGTTGTGATGTTATACTATTGTTTCAGAAAAGGGAGAAGGTTTGTTACCATTAAAACGTTTAATCCCGCTGCAAATGTTTGCACCTGTCCTAAGTCAGGAATCTGATTACAGTAGTTGTCGTCGTCTGTTTATGTAGTTCATACGTGTTTCTCGTTTTTATATAGATTAGACCGTTGGTTTTTCCGTTTGAATGGTTTTATACTAGTAATTTTTTGGGGCCCTTTATAGCTTGCTGTTCGGTGTGAGCCATTGCTCCGTGTTGAAGGCCGTACCTTGACCTATAATGGTTTACTTTTATAAATTGTAACTTGGATGGAGAGTTGTCTCATTGGCACTCATACCACATCTTCCTATATCTATTGGTGTTAGTACATATACAATACGCGCATCTTGTCAGATTTTAATGTTTTATGACAGGTTGCTGAATTTGGCATTTTGATAATATATTGCAGCAAGTCTTTTTTTACCTATATTGAGGGTGTATGTATATTCTCAGGATCACTTTTTTTTAATAATTTTCCACAAATGACAGAATGTTGAACTTTGTCTATTCAAGTGAAATTTTGCATACAGTTTGCAAGGTTAGTCCGACTAACAACGCACACAACCCAAACGTAAAGAGTATAGTATACAGAGTATACTATATTTATAGAATACGTATTTTATTAGGATGTTGATTTTCTTTATGATTTTCACAACTAACAGAATGTGTAACCTTTTTTGGCGGTTGCATCAAATGTGTCTTTTTTATCCCTATTTTTGACATTTTTACCTATTGTGTCTGTTTGTTTTGTTCACGCATCGTTGTCAATATAATTGAATATGATGCGACTGTCATACAAGCGAGAGGTTTGGCTGGCTATAAGGTCGGGTTCAGTCCACCGTTTTCTACATGAGGGGATGCCTGTACCAAGTCAGGAGTGGGACAGTTATTGTCCATTCGTTTGGTGTGTTTGAGCTTTGATTTTGCCATTTAATTGGGGACTTTCCTTTTTGAATTTTCCTCGGAGTTCAATATTTTTGTGATTTTACTTTTTAGACACAACTTTTCAAATTGTATTGTATTGTATCGTCATGAAAATCCATGAAATATTTGCCACTGGACGTTAAGCAACCATCAATCAATCAATTCAAATTGTACTTCAACATCACTGTTTACCAAATCAAATTTTTGAATCACTTTATTTTATTCATGCATGGATGCATCGGTGTCATCAGCATTGTCTAGTTTGGTAGGGGTAAGTTGGAGATTCAGTTTTGAAAGCTAAAAGTGCTCACAGTTAGGATGAAATAAAATTAACTCAGTCGAATGTTATATTGAATTATTAGGAAATTTCCGACAGGGGGAATGAAAATAAAATAACAAACACCATTCAGATCCTGTTACATATTTATTTTCAATCCCTCTGAATAAAAATAACGTTATTCTGTATTCCGTAACGTCACATTTTTTTGTCAATTTCTAAGCGTATCGGTCATCTTTGAAGCGATTTATCTAAAAAACAAGGATGGTGACATATTTTTTTTATACATGTATGGATTTGGTATACAATCCTGGATATTATGTTAGTTTTTAGTCTTTCTCCGTATATGAGAAAATAGCCATCCATTGAAAAATCTAGAAAAGTAAGTCGAAAAAAGGGCATCTTCCCTATATATCTATGTAAATTTGGCGCCAAAATTGACATTTACTTATCAAAATTACAAAAAAACAAGAATGGTGACCCCCATCTTTTATTTCATATTCCGATGTAACTCGAATCAAAGTACAAGTGTGCCAACAATTTTAGAAATCGGGGGATATGCCATTCGGTATCGTGTTACCTTAAAAGACGTCATAATTATTTGGACTAGAAGGTAGTGATGCTATTGTTGGGCAATTATAGTGTATTTGTTGGATTCATGATTTAACTTCTTAAAAAAGTTTTTGACTGTTTTAGTTATTTCATTTGTTTATTTGCCTTACATAAAACAATTGTCGGAAGTATATGATAAAGAGATTAACCCTCTTGATGCCACATTAAAAAAATCAACGTTTCGACGTTGCCAATGGCCTGAATGGGCAATGACAATTTGACGTCGCCAGTACCAAATTCTTTTGACGTCGTCTTTTTGGCGTTTTTTTTTTCTCATATTGATTAATAAAGTTGTTTTCCTACGCGACCGGCATTCACAATAGCGGTGACCAGGAGATCATTTTGATAATGCTAAATTGACCGATTAAAATCTTTCCATACAAATTTGCTTCTTGATGGACCAAGGAAACTCATGAATGTAAAGTTAACTGATAAATTTTTGAAAATACTGTTGAATTTGTGCAATTTACGTGTTAATTACTTTACCCATTTAAATTTTCGACTGATATAATTCTCCAAAACGCAAGACCAATTATTAAAAGTTCTTTTTTTAATTGCAAGGGAATATTGTAAAGTATTATGCAATACGTATTTGCCACCTACAATTTTGGCTATATATTTTCATATCATAACAGTTTTTTAAAAAGATATTTTAGGGTTTTATCTTCGATTGTTTTTGTTTTCTACTGATGTGAACATTGATATTAATATTTTGCAAACTAATTTGGGTAAAATATATGACAAACTTCGGGATGAAAAATTATTGTTTATATTACCAGTAAAAGATAATTGTCCAAGGATAAATATTACTTATAAACATATTAGATTTGTGATAATTTTTTTCTATTAGTTGATTGAAATCCAATTAGAAATAACTTTATAAAATTTATATTTAAAAAATGTAATATATAGCCAAAAGTTGTTCGTGAAAAATACTTCTCGGCCACTGTATAAAAAGGAGTTGTACATAATTTCTTCTAAAAGGGTAATGAAAGGTCAGTTATAATCGTTTTTCCCCATGTTCAAGAACTTTTATTTTTCTATAAGTAACATTTTGATTTAACAATTACCGATAAAAAAGAAGGCGAGTAATGTCGTGATATTTTAACCTAGCAACATTGTCCTGTACTGTCTCTATACATAAACCATGTGAGCAGTAGTCTTTTTTTTTAAATTACATGTAAGAACATTTTTTCTTGCATTTAATGTTTAGGGATAAATTCAGAAGACGGGCTTAAATTTATCTTAACTTGTCTCGACACGGGACTATTAAATATATGAAGTTATATAGATGTGATTGCGTATTGAATGTTTGTCAACCTCTGTTTGTCATGATTTTTTTTAATTTATTGTGTCTTTTGATGTAGGCCTATACCACTTCTTTTTATCTTGGAGATGGGGTATTGAAGGTAACAAGATTCATTTTGTGTAAATTTCTGTAGAACAACCTCAATTTCAAAAACATACAGCAAATAAAAAACAGTATGAAAGAAAGTATTGCCCGTAACTATTATCGAAAATAATTTAAGTACCCATACTCCTTGTATTCTTCATCTGCAAAACAACTTATATCATTTCTAAATGGTATATTTTACATCATTAACCGAATCAAATGGTTAAAAATAGTTCCAGATTTTAGAGGCCGTAATAACCGCTGCTGGTTTTGTGTAAAAAAAATTGTGCCAGTAGAGGGTGTCTCCTCTTATATATCTTTTCGTGTTCTCTTCTAACGAATGCATAGACATTGGGTGTTCATTTTGTATTTTTTAATGTGAATCATAGCACAGAGAAGTACGATTATCGACAAGATCCTTTTAAGTTAAATTACAAAAATGAATTTCGAACACTCGGAGAACATATTGTTTCATCAGTTTATTCTCTATAATTTATTTATGAATATTTCATGACCAGGTCTGTGGTATCTGTTTAGTGAAATTCAAATCCCTAGCTTCTGTTAAATCCGGAAAAGTCAGACTTCCCATAAAAAATACTGGTCCCTCAGGCTTTAAAATTTCAAGCTGGATACAGATGGTGCATGCATGGCTAAAAATACGAAAATAATGTCAAAAACATTCAGTAACTTTCATTTTTTTTTTCAATAAATGATTAAAAACTTGTGTGTTATACTTGAACATGAGTATGAATAAGCCATATAGTATTAGAGATGAGGTTTTTCACTACAGTCTAGTCTATATTTAATAAGACCTTATGTAGTATTATGAATTAGGTCATTAATTTTCTCAATTGAATTATTTCACATTTTTTCATTTCGGGGCCTTCTATAGGCGACTAGTGGTATTGTTTTTTCTCATCGTTGAAGGCCGTACGGTTGCCTGCAATACTGCTGACATCCACTTCTTTTCAACTTTGGTTAACTGTTGTCTCATTTGCAGTTATACCACATTCCCTTATTTTTATATTATAAGTATAAAATATTGGTCGCTGAACTAAATGACATGCAATTAATTAATCGTAAATTCAGTTTTAAAATAGCTTTACTTAAAATTTGAATTAAATATTTCTTCTATCAACTATCTGGGATTTTGCTTTTTCTTTTGTGTTTATTTTTTTTCTTCTATATATTTTGTCATTATATATCATTATTAAGAATTGATAATAATCATAGTAATAAATTATTTGTAATTATACTGCCCTCTTAGGGCGTCCTTGATTGACAGTAAAAATATTGTATTATATTGTATTGTATATCTCTTGGTTGATACGATATTTCAGAGCTTGCATTTCCTATCACGATTTCCTTGATGGAGAGTTGCAGCTAACAATGAAGCTATTGAGTGAAGAGTTTCAGTTGTTCACGTGAAGTTGAAATCATCGCAATCGAGTTGGTTGTTGGTTATGGAAAATCTATATCACAGATTACGAGAGATGTGTTCCAATATTGTCGTAACCACAATCCCGTCCTCTTTTCCTCGAATGTGACCTACCTAACTAGACTTATTACCGGGTTCGCACTTATACGTGAGCAACACGATCGGTACCACATGTGGAGAAGGACCTGCTTACCCTTCCGGGGTACCTGAGATCACCCCCGGTTTTTAGGGGAGGTTCTTGTTGCTCAGTCTTTAGTTTTTTATGGTGTGTTTTGTGTATTGTTGTTTGTCTTTTCGTCATTTCCGTTTTTACCCAAGGCATTGTCAGTTTGTTTTCGACTTATGAGTTTGAATGTCCCTTCGGTATCTTTCGCCTCTCTTCTACTCTCCTTTGAAGGTTGTCTTTGTTGCCATTGACTATTTCTCTACTGTCTAGGATATTTTCAATGAACGTAATAATTTCATAACTAAAACATTTTTACAGTAGGAATAGATATCATAAATTGGTAAAAACGTTTAATAAATTTTATTACAAGTATAAAGATGTATTGTACAAGTATGATGCCATGTCGGATTATGAATAAAATGTTGTATTTCGCATCCAGCTTTTTAGGTAATATTATCTATAACAATAACAAGTATTGTCCTTCAAATCAGTTTCTTTCGCTTAGCAGACTAAATAGATTTAGGTTATTATCAAACTATTGTTCAATAACTGAGTCTGATATTTTCGGGGATAAACATCAATTCGCCAATTTTTAGTCAAGTTAAAGCAAAATCCAAATAATTGTTTTCTGCAATTAAACTATGTACAGTTTGTTCTTCACGAGATCGTGTAGTCCTGTACTGTTTACTTTGTTGTTGTGTGAGATATTCTGTGGAAGACAGCAATCAATGTAAGAGTGTAGGAAGGCATGATTGCATATCAACAGGTTCTGGTATTTTGAGCTTCATTTCCATAAAAGCGAGTTATGGTCTAATTTTATCTACTTTTGTTTGTACTTGTGTTTTTATCGTTTATACTATTGTTTTAGTGTGACGTGGTTTTCCTGTACTGATTTTTATTGTATGTTCTTTTATATTTTTTTTATTAACCCACTTACTAGTCTAGATTAAAATAGAGAGGAGGACGATTTAGCTGAAAAAAGATTGTTAGACCCCACCACATATTTATGTGCCAACCTCAATTGAGAATCTCGTCAGTGGTGGTTTAATGTCATTTTTTAAAGTTTTTTTTTTTTTTGTCTTTTGTAGACTTTAGTGTTGATGGAAGATTTTGATAGACCATGCATATTTTTTTTTTAGTCCAGATTTAGAGTTGGCTGTATTGTCTAGGCTCCTGTCTAATGTTGAAAACTGTACATTGTCCTATAGATGCCTTTTGATTATTTGCTGCCTTATGACGTATATCCCATATATCTTTTTATTCGTGTTGACCCTTTTTATTTTAGCTTAATTAAAAGAAAAGTTACTATCCCAGTTATCGAGATTACCCAAAAGAAAATAGTTGTTAAACAAATACTCTAAATTTTTAATAAATAATTATCTTTGTAAGTATTATTCAATCTCATCCTTGTTTCCTTTGTTTAACCTGAGCATAAAAAAATAAAAAGATGTGGTATGATTGCCAATGAGACAACTCTCCACAAGAGACCAAATGACACAGAAATTAACAACTATAGCATGCATTTACCTTTAAATCGTTCAATTTGCACAAAGGCAATACTTTTATTTTGATAGTTAACCAATGCGTTAGTGTTGAACTTTTGAAGCGATGGCCTTAATATTTCTTTCTAGATGTTTTTGTCAGTTGAGGTTATTCCGAAGACCGCTGACGTCAATCAATGCGTTCCTGAAAAGTAAATTTTAACCAATCAGCGGAATTTTGATTTTGACCATCCAATCAGCGGAATTTTAATTTTAACATAACTATTTGTGATGCAGATATTGAATGCGTCAGTTCCGAAAAGTAAATTTCAACCAATCAACGGAATTTTATATCTATTTTTGATGCAGATATTTGCAGACTAAAATGGAAATTTTAGTAAAATAGAATGCTTTTAGTGGATATAAAACTGGGAATAATGAACCCTTTTAGCATTAGAAGGATTGGATAGGGGTTCTGTGTATTCACATTATCTGTACAACTCTCCTTACTTTTGGGTATTGTTGAGGGATTTTGCAACGTAAATGGTTCACCATAATTAAAAATTTTATATAGTATAGTAGCCATGAAAATGGTTTATCCGGTTTATCCTAAAAATTAGTTGTTATAGGCCGATAGAAATTGGTAGATTTTGGTAAAAGGCATCCTATGCAAGGTGTTATTAAGAACTCTCCAGAAATCGATTTCGCGGGTTGTTATTTTTTCGATTTCAATTTGCATTAACCTTTCGCATGGCTGTTGATTTTGCGCAACGAACGATAAGTACAGGGACAAAATTGCGGGCTATTCGCGTTATGTTTAAAAAAAATATTACAGTTGTCTTTCTTGTCGCAACTTAATATTCTGAGATGCTCGTGGAAAAATGTCAGCATATTGCATGATTGATTACACGCTGCACTTCCATTGGTTTTCAATCTTTCCAAATTTCAGTTCATTTGCTAATGAATCACAGCTGCTAATATATGTGTGACAATGTTACGACAGAGAATGGCTTGTCTGTCCGATTCAGATAAACAATACACTTTCGAAAAACTGTAAAAAATTGTTCGATATACTATAGCCAGCAGCCTTAGTAAAGCAGCAAGACATTTTTATGTTCTATAAAAGCATAATATTTACTGCAATTAAAACAGTATTTGAGCCTTTGAATGAGAAAATACATCCAAAACCAAGAAAAAAATATTTGCTTGCTATAGAATTTGAATTTTCAGAGTATTGGACGTTAGGTTGTTCTTAAAAGACAAAAAATTTCTTCTGTTGCCTGAATATGGAGGACCCCTAGAATTATTTCGGTATTGGGACTGATCGATTAAAGATATATCAATTGCCTTTCACATCAATATCGTTGATTTCTAACTTTTCGCAAGGATGACATTTTCGTGCATTTCAATGATCGCGAAATAGGCAAAAATAATTGAGTCCGAAAATTAACAAGTTTTTTGCAGATTTAGTTTTTTTTTCAAAAAGAGGTAGAAGATACCAACAGTGTAATCAAAAACCAAAAGTCGAATCGAAACAGACAACACCATGGCAAAAAGAAAAACGACAAAAAGACAAAAAAAAGTGCACGAAATATTACACAGAAAACTAAAGATTGAGCATCACGAATCCCACCGAAGGTACCTTGTTACTCTGGAGGGGTATACGTAAGCAGTTCCCGCTCCACATTTGGCACCTATCGTGTTACTCATTGCAAATTCGGGTATAAGTAGCATTCGGTGATGCCATAAAAGAAGAAAATGGACGGGAGGATAGGCCACGACAAGAGGAACAAATCCATGGTCTTCTTTAACGCTGATATTCCATAGCGGTCAACCAAAGCATGATCGCGTTCAAAAAACTTTCGAACGGATGTCTCCAATTTCACCGTTCGGACCCTTAGTTCAATAGTTTCTTTGAAGGCAGCAACCCACTATCATGGAAATTATGCTAGGAAATACAAGCCCTGAAATATCGTATCAACTGAGGGAGATATACAATACTCTCCATTTTCAGGCGCTGCTGGAATGTTGCTACACAGAAATGGAAAGATCACAATTGGAAAATTGAAACATCTCTTAGGTCGTAAAGTTGGTTTTCAACCAACACTCTTTATCAATTTCTAGATGTAAGTCAAGATATAAAGCAGACTTTACTGTATCTGTGGTACCCTTTATTTCAAGTTCAAAGGAATAGATGAAGTCAAACTAGTCATCGAACTTTAAATTACTGTAAAGGTCGAAATTTTCACGCGGGGGTTATTTTGATCACTAAAATGCCCGAAAACATCCCCCGCGCGAATTGTTTTAGAGAGCAATAATATTAATGCAAATTAGTCACATTATCTTTGGTTTTATAATGTTTTAATTGTGTATATTATTGTATTGTTGGCCTTCAACACCTTGGGATATAAATGTGCATTTCTTAATAAAATAGATTATCTTTGGCGCATCTTAAACACAAAAATAACAACCTCCGAAAATATCCACGTTTATAGTATTCAGTGAAAGCACATCCTCTATCGGAAAGTGAATTCAAGGTTAATGCCAGCTCCTTTTCATTTTTCTTTGAGAAGTTCCCGGATGAATAATGTCTCATAAGAATAAAGGGAAAATATGACTCGAAGAGAAACACAGTTGGTTCACATATAGGAATACCGATTGTCTGTTGATAAAACAAATTTTCATAAAATACAAATATGTTGTCAATACAACAAATCAAGCAATGGTCATTTTCATATAATTTTTTGTTTGAATCGGAGCGTTGGTTTTTTTATACAAAGTTCCTTCCTAAATCAAGATGTATGTATCTGTGCGGGCCTTTCTTTTTTTAAAACAAATTCAGACTAACTCTTTCAAATTGTCATTAAGTTTAGAATGAGGAATACTTGATAATGGGTGAACAAGGGTTGTGGCAAATGTTTAAGTTATACTATTGCACGATGGGAGGTACCTGTGATTGTATTTACTCAACAGATCTTTAAAATGTTAAAGTTATACTATTTCACGAGGGGAGGTACCTGTGATTGTATGTACTCAACAGATCTTTGAAATGTTAAAGTTATATTATTGCACAAGCAGAAGTACCTGGGATTGTATGTACTCAACAGATCTTTGAAATGTTAAGCACGAGCAGAAGTACCTGGGATTGTATGTACTCAACAGATCTTTGAAATGTTAAAGTTATACTATTGCACGAGGAGAGATACCTGGGATTGTATGTACTCTCCAGATCTTTGAAATTTTCCCCTATATGGTAGTTTCATAGTGACTCTGAAGCGCGGTTTAAATTGCTGATAAAATGTATGTTAAAAATAGTTTAGTGAGAGGTTTTGTGAATCATTTAGGAGATCCAATATAACATGGTTTGTAAGCACACTTGTGTAATGCTGGTATCCATGCAATAGAGTGAAGGAATATCCCATTCTTCTTATCTTTGGAACATAAAACCGACCAAAGATTGTTCATTATTTCCTTCAAATCATGGTAACATCATTGCATGAAATCCGCAATCCCCTTTTTATGGTCCATTACTATCTATATTTCGATATTTTTGCTGATGACACCTCTGTTTCATATTCCGCTATGAACTTTGAAACAACTGCAATTGACATCAGTAATGACCTATATTTAGTTCAAATGAACGGACATACGTGACTGGTAGATTTTATAACCGAAAGAAAATCAAAGCATTGGTATATTTACAAATGATACACCATCAGAAATCAATATTCTATACAAAGATTGGAATTATTGACAGTCATAAACACTTAGGTGTTACACTATCACCAGGTGAAAACTGTTTGTAAAATTTTTTCCCGTCATTTTGTGGAATAGGGATGGTTAAAGGCAAAAGTCTATAACTCCCATCTTCCTGAGTATGCATGAAACATAAACAGTGCACATGATGTTAAGTTAACTACCATCAATCAATTTGGGGCCGCCAAATGTTAGGAAGATCTCATAAGTTTCACGGCGACTATATAGATAGCAAACCGCCTGGGGATTTTGTGCCTTACATTGGCAGTAAGATGCTGTAAAGAAATTGAGTCACTATTAGAATATTTACATAGGATATTCAATAAACACCAAGGGGAATTGTTTATTTTTTTAACTTGTTTACATTTTAATGTATTTTACCTTTCTCCTGTGATATTTGAGGACTACGGACGAGGGATAACACTCACTGATATTTGTACATTAAGTATTGTATAGGCTACATTTCAATATGAGTTAAACATCATATTTAATGTCACTGCATTATTTTCAAGTGATATTGTCTTGCATACAAAACCGGGGAGTAGCTAAAACATTTGTGCTTCCATATACTTTCATCCCTGCTGAAGCGCTTCGGACAAACTATTGTGTCAAGTTATGGATATTCTGATGGTAACTTACCGTTTCCCTCTTGATGTCTTGATGTCTTTTAGTTTTTGTGTTGTTTGGATGCTGTGTCTTATTACACATCTCCTTTTTCATGTTCAATTCGTTCTCGTCTACAAAAGATGTATTTAATTTGATGCTTATAGTAAACGGAAAATAAATCGTTCAGTTTTTTCAATATTATTCGATGTAAACCGAACTCAAAATTATACATATTCTCCTATTTGATACACGTTCTTAGATCGATAGATGGGTGACTTTTTTAACAATGTCCAGTTACAACTATTACATGCATATTCGATATAAGAACATGGAAAGTAGATATGAATATACGAACCCTACTTTTTACTGGACAGATACATAAATAGTACCCTTATACGTATCTGGTACCAGATAGATCCGCTGAGCCGGCATTTTAGTTTCATTATTATTCTAAAATAAAACCTTATAATAATTCATTTATTAGTGGTCAATTGTGTTCTATAATTTGAACTTTTGACGTAAGTGAGCGATGACATGATCGATGGAAAATAACATGAATTGAGATGATTTTTACATTACTATTATAGAAATCACATTAACTTCTTATGACGTAATCTGAGTTGGACAATAGACGATTATAAAATTCTATAGATAATTTTAAATAAATACAAGTTTATCAATCTATGGGGAAATTTATTTTCTTATTTCCAGAGTATGTCGTGTCGATAATTAATAGGTGGCAATCAGCTTTATCGATTTATACAAGGTAAAATCTACACAACTTGTTGTATAATCCTCAGATGTGTTAATTCCATAACCTTAATTGAGGTATTGTTTGCAGTTAATAGTACACATGTACATTCAGCATCTGTCATCAATTCTAACATTAACTGTTTTTTTTTCTCAGTACGGAAAAAGGGGGATTGAAAAGACGTTACCATTGCTTAACAGTTAAGGGACGACCATTTGATTTTCATGGAGAGGGTGGGGCAAGAGGATTTTGAAAATGAATATCCTGGCCTGGTAAGAGCGGAGATTGATAACTTTGCATAAGATAGGTTGTAAAACAATATTATGCAACACAAAATGCAGAAACTAGTTGTGTGCAAAATCATTTCCGCGAAAAAATATAGGCATGCGTAGCAACGGTTAAAAATGAATAGTCAATCAGCAAACAATCCTCCTCCTACCTCCCTAGAATATCAAATATCCTACCTCCCCAGAATATCAAATGGTCGTCCCTTTACAAATAAACCAGGGGGAAAGAGGAGGCGTACAGGTTTGTATAACCACTTTTAAGTTTTTTTGCTATAAGAGGAATAAAAAAAATTGTTCACACTAATTGCAACGTGAGAATTTATTGATATTGGTCTCATGTTGCTATTTCAGATCTGTTCCAAGTACATTGACTTCAGGGGCGTGCGAGGTGCTAAAACAAACCTCGACAGAGCTGTACACTCAAAATAAAAACAATAAATAGATACATTGGTGAGAAAATAAATTTAAAGAAAAAAATCATACAAGCCATAGATTTTTTGGAAATTTTCACATGGCCAGGGTCGTAATAATCGAATTTTACACTGAGCGTTAGCTTAACTTACATGTACAGTTCCACAGCTTCCTGTGTGTACTTTCGGGTTATAACAAAATTATCGGTCGTATTTCTGTGTATCTGTTTGAAAAAAAAATCAAATTTTTGTATGTGATCTAGCTGTTGTTATTTGACTTCATTTTCATAAAAAAAATCTTATCTGCTCTATATGAAATATTTTCGCTTTTTTATAGTATTTTATCTAAGTATTGAAAATGCACCTTGGCAACCCTGAAGGCAATAATTTTAAGTAGCGTAAAGGATTTACAGTATAGAAAATAAAGCATTGACTTTTTTAAAGATAACCATGAATTATAGAAATGACGCAAAGTGACAGAATTGTTAAATAATAGCTTCCCTTTTCTTGAAAAATTGTACCCAATGTTAATTACAAAGTCATCCCAAACCTCAGTTATGCATCCCCTAGAAAAATTGCTCTCTCACAGATTAATTGAAATACATTCGCCGAGTCGTTTTTCTGTAACTATTTCATATTTATAAAGAATGTTTAAATGAGCTGGTGTTTGCCGGGATTAGGGTTATATTCAGGAATTCGCAAATATTGATTCGTTATAAATTTGTTTTACGCATTAGTTTTTTATCGTTGAATTGTTTCTGTTTAAAACAATATTTTTGCATATTTTCACGACTTTTTCGGCGAAACAAATCATTTTATTTACAAAATATATGTGTATATAATATGAGTGGGCTGCTGACTTCACCTTGTCCAGAATATAAAACAGAATGATTAATAAAATCAAGTATAGCAATGAAGACTAATTTTTACACTTTCCTGTTAAAAGGTTATGTTTCATTTTGAAATTAAAAATTTTTGAAATAAAAGTTTGTAATCTACCCAACATCTATATCTGTTTCGCTTGAATGACAAACAATCATAGTAGCCGTTGTCCTTGGCCCGAAATAAATACTAATAAGAAAACAAATTATACGATTGGTCAGTACATAATTGACCTCAGGGCAACTAAACAGTGAATGCGCACAGTCCATAGAAATTATTGAATGACCACATTGCCATTAGCATTCTAGAGTTACGTAATCGCTCCACTTTCTACATGAACTAGCCGTGCGGACATGCTGGACGCCATTTTATCTATATCAATTCTCATCAATTTTACATGCAAGTACTAATGTAAGTATTTATTTATTTGTTTAGTTATCAAATATTGATTTACTACGTATTACAGCGCGAAACATGGTGTTGCGCAATTACAGGACAAACACATTTGTGTGTTTTTTAGTCTTGTAAATGAAACTATTTTTAATAGACGGCAAAGCAACAAATTCAGATTCAGAATTGATCATTTTTATCAGTAAAATTTTCTATGATTAGTCACAGCTGAGTATCCGTGAGTGGGATAATCTCCAAGATCCTGTTGTTTCGAGGATTATGATTGTAAATGGTTTTCAGATTTTACCACTGAACGCGTGTAATTTGCAGTAAGTACAGTTATATAAAACTTTCTCTATTTTTATTAAGATATTTTATTTAGTTCATTAAGTATTTTACATTTGGGTTGAAAGAAAAACCTTTTTCACAATTTTATAGTACTTACCATTTGATCGATTTATATAATTGTACATGTATATACATTAGTTCAAAAAGATCATGCTTCTCCGTACACTTATATAATTTTTTCTTCAATTTTATCAGATTTTCTTTTTAACACTTGTTTTACTTAGCAATTTGCTTTGGGAGTATCATTCCAGTGGTGAGATAGACCGAAGATAAAATTGTTATCTTATTCTTAGAAAAACAAATATTGGCAACCGAAAAAGCTGCAGATATTGGGAAAGATTTATAACAAATCTCTCGGGACAAAATGTCCGCCCTGACCATCTTGACGTAATTCGTTGTATTATTCAGTAGCACCATGTTGTGTTAATTATGATAATGTTACTCATAATTTATTTATATCAAACGAGGAGTGCAATAAGTTAGTTAAACTGATGCAGATTTGGTTTCTTATCATCAAAATAAAAAACTTGAAAATTGTTCATTTAAATTATTGCATAGTTATATACATGTTTGTTGTAATTCACTTAAAGAAATCTCATACTATGCATTTCTTCTTATGTTATAAAATTAAAATAATCGACTCATAAGGCATATGTTTGACAAGTGTAGTTCTATAATTTTTAATGACTCGGATAGAAGAAATCTCCTCGACCTTCATTGACTTGTAAGTTCCGCTCCCATGTTATCCGATCCAATCCAAGCTTATTTTAAATGATGAAACCGTAGCCTACACAAATACCATCTTAGTTGGTAATTATGCTAATAACTGTTCATTCTCGCGGTTGATGGACTCTTTTAGACAGTGAGTGGTACAAAGTGTATTTAAGATATTTATTTTGTATTTATTTGTTCAGGAAGGTATATAAATATATATATATATATATTGTAAGGATATGCAAAATAAAATAAAATTCAGAGAGCAATATTGTAATAATCAACGTATCCAAGGAAATTTTATATTTTATGTAATTTAACATTAACAATTTTAAGTAAGTTTCTTGCACTTCGCTATTTGTATAATATATTATAATGCTGTTTTTTTAACAGTGATAAAAGTTCCAATTAAAAAAAGTGCAAAATGGTTGCTTTTTTCTTGTTGAATTGCTACCATACAAAAATCTTTCTGTCATGTGTATGTAGAGATATTTTTTCTAAGGAAAACTTTAAATTGCTTATTTTAACAAGTTTGTGAGAGCCATAAGCTGGTGGGTGCATTAAGATTGAAAAGCGTCGCTTCCGTTAGAATTCTTTTTGATTGGCCAGAAAATTTCAGATTAAAATTCAATGGAATTTTACAACTTTACAATGGCTAAAAGGTTTGTGGGCTTCAAAAGAGAACATTTAAATAAACATAATCCTGTATTAAACTGGTTTTCAGTTGAAAAATATCAATAGATTGTATTTGTAAAATTATGTCAACAATGACCAGTAATACCACAAAATAACATTAAGGTTACCTGTCCGGACAAGATTCGGACAATGGTCAATCTACAGGAATACCCAGGGGATAAAACCTGCCTATTGTTCATTTCACAGAATAACTACTGTATTTTTAACACTTGTTTTGTCCAAACCAGTTTAAATGAAATCGTACGTAAATGGCTGACTAATTGGCGTAGGATATTGATCACCGATACATAGATATAGTATATCTAATTGCAGAATGACCACAGAAATAGACATTGTCACACGCTGACCACAGGTAAATGACAGGTGTACAACACCATTTGCATCATATGTTTTAATCATACTTTAGCCAGAGAAATCAGAGGCACTTGAGGCAAACATGTTGGATCTTCAGGAAATTTAGTTTGTGAGGCATTATGTAGTTCTTAGGTAATTTGATTTATTTACATCTTTTTGTTCTTACATGATTTTATTTAGCTGTAAAAGTTATATTTGACATTATTGACACTAGAGGCATATTTTTTAACAATGAATTTTAAATCATTTGACACAATGTTGTTACTGTTCATCATGTTCTTCCTAATCTTATGTTCTTCAGGCAGTTTAGATTTATTTTGGATATGAAATTTAGACATCTTGAAATTTTACGATCTTTTAGTTTGATATAATGGTACAGGTTTTGGCATTTACCTACGAGAATACAAGCACAGTTAGACTACCTTGAGTCATGGAAGCTAGCACAGAAATTGGTAATGCAAAAAAAAACTGGTTTCATGGTTTTTGAAACAATTCTAGATGCAGAAGTAGAAAAATCATTCTTTTTCTGTAAATGGCACTGGTAGAATTCACGGATTTTAATGACAACCGTGTTCTCCCGGTCGCCATCTATGGAGAGAGGAAATATCGT